ACTTTATCCTGAGCTTGCTCCAGAGGTAAGCCTGGGTGTTGTTTGCAGGGGAAGAGGGATAAAGGGAGGGGCAGCTCTTCTTTCTTTTTGCTAAACAGAGAGCAATGCTCAGTCCAGGGAGTCTGGGGCTATATTCTCCACTTGAGAAAAAAGCTTTGAGTGTCCATTACTGATTTGGCTCAGGAAGCACATTTAAAGCAAGACTCGCAAGTCTTTGGGACAACAATACTGCATCAGCTCCTGGATTGTAAAGGGCTTATTTTTTCACATCTCTGAAATTGTAAGTTTTGGAAGATTACTGCAGGATGCCACCACAGAGACAAAGTTGTTCCTCGGCTGATGTTGCCTGTGCATGTCTGAAGGTGGCCAGTAACGGGCAGGAACTGTTTATCTGTCACCTCAGCTGATTCCTTGCATTGGAAGCAGTACATGCAATTGCGTTTAACCTAGGTTTGATTCATAACTGCCACTTAAAAGGTCTGGAGTGATTGTAGTATAACTGAATATTGGTTATCAGGTATGCAGAGGAGACTGAAATCACAAAGAATAAAACTCTGTAAGTAAATTGATTATTTATCATGAGCAGAATGGCTGCCCTTTTGTACTTTGTCATGAAGCAACATTCAGGTACAATAGAAGACCCAATCAGGGAAGAGAGCTGAATTTAGAGAAAGTCCCCTTCCATCTTTCTCCTTGAAACAGGGGTAAAACTGTTGTTTATCATATGCCTTGTAACGTATTAAGGGCAGAAGAAGCTACCATTTTCTAGAACTGCTTATATATGTGTTAAATCAGCAGAGTTTAATTTGACCAATTTGTGACATAAACAGGTCATCAATAGTTTCCAGTTCACTGTTTCAAAGAAACTATTTCAATTACATTTGTGACTTTGGATAAGTTACTTTCTCCCTCAGGACCTCAGTTTCCTTATACGTGAACTGTGGTTTAGTAAAAGTAACTATGATGTCTCAGGGGTTGGGAATTAAATGAGCTGATATTTCAAAGCACTTGAAACAGTGGCTGGCACACAGTAAGTGCTGTACCAGTGTTTGCTGTTATTGTTAATCTTATTACTGCAGTATGTACATGAAATTAGAGAAAACAAAATGAGAAATTTTAACCAGACAGACAATTCAGAAGGAATCTCGTCTTTCTATACGCTTTCAAAGTACACAGGTGACCCTGAAAGTGGTAAAATGACCAAGGACACAAACAAGTTCTGAGAGCAGTGTGTGGCAGCAGGTGTCTCAGTGATGCTGTGCTAAACCACCTGTGGCCAAAGCAATTCAGAAAATGCCCAGACTCTTTAGATTTCTCAAACTATGAAACCTTAAAATTTGGGTATTGATGGAAACATATTATATAATTGGATGGGTAAATGTATGGTATGTCAACCAGTCAAAACACTGCATACATTTAATGTAGATTTAATTTATCCCTTCAAAGCTATTAATAAACTAATAGTGCAGCTTAGAAGTGATGAAAGAGCCGACATATTCTGAAGATTTTCCAGGTGCCAGATGCTGGCACTTCACATTATTCTATATCTAATCCCTATAATAGCTCAAAGCTCATTTGAGGGATGAGGACACTGGGGATTGGAAGGGTTAATATAAGTAATACGGCTACACTGCTAGTCATTGTAGCTGAGTGGTAGAGAGAACATTAAATTCTGCTGGCCCTCATTAAGAAACAAACAATATTTGCATTATTGTGGCAAGATTCTTTCAGTCACAAGTGAACATTTTCAGGGGAAGAGATTTAATATGTTGATTTACCTGGGAGGGCCTAATGTTGAGGCTGACTTAAGACACAAATGGATCCAGGGACTCAACCTTGTCATCAGATTCTCTGTCTGTCTCTGTTTCTCTCTCTCTCTCTCTTCCTAAGGAAGACAGCCAATATCAGCTCCAATCCCCCTCACATTATCCCACCTTAACAACTTCAGCAAAAAGATAAACATCTTTCTTGCAGTGTCCATACGTAAAGCACAAGGGAAGATTACCCTTGGACCAATCCCTGTTGCTAGGTGGATGTGGTACAATGTGGTACACCCTGATTGCTTAGTCATGTGTCACGTGATTCTCTCATCCTGTGGTGCACAATACTTCCTAAGATATTAAAGGTTGTGCTGATTATCAAACCACATAACTATTAAACAAAAAGACCTATGTAAATTTTCTGGACTGTGAGAAATGAGAGACAACATTAACTATTAGAACTGCTGGCATTCTTTTCACTTCCTTACTTCTTTATGTTTCCACCTAAAAGATCCAACTTTTTTTTTTTTTCTGAGGAGGACTAGCCCTGAGCTAACATCTGATGCTAATCCTCCCCTTTTTTCTTGAGGAAGACTGGCCCTGGGCTAACATCCGTGCCCATCTCCCTCTACTCCATATGGGACGCTGCCACAGCGTAGCTTAACAAGCAGTGTGACAGTGCACACCCAGGATCCAAACCCACGAACCCCGGGCCGCCACAGCAGAGCGCACGTACTTAACTGCAGCGCCACCAGGCCAGCCCCTAGAAGTTCCAACTTTTAATCCCAAAATTACTTGGAAGACTGGGTCACCTTTCTAGGGTCATAATTTTGATGCAAATTCCTGTGGGGTGAGCACCAAATCCCTTTGACCAGAGCTCTGTATTTATTCTAGTCTCTACATTCCTAGCCACAGCCCTGTACAAGGCCACGCATTCAGGTGGTTCCCAAAGTCACCCTGCTGTTGGCAGACTCTAAGATTCCCCCAATGTTCCCATCCTCTGGTATTCCAGCCCTTGTGTAACCCACCCTTGGAAACTAAGGTGGACCTAGTGACTTGCTGGTAACAATAGAAGGTAAAGTGATGCAATATATATTTTGGGATCACAACAGGACAGGATATGAGGGACCTGGTGTCAACTGTGTCAAGGTTGGCTGTCCAAACCAGCCTGGGGAAGCACAGACTCCTCATGGAATCCAATGACAAATGGCCCTGCATTCCTTTTCTACCTGAGGAGTTGCTCCTCTAGATGTCAACCTCCACAGTCGCCACCATCAGACAGGATGAGGAGGAGGAAGAGATCACTCGCAGTGATTCTGATCCTGGCTGGAATGACCTAGGGGTCCCTATTTAAAAAGGACAAGAAGAGAAGTGAAGAAACAAAGACTCCCACATCTAACACCTCTTGAGCCCAACACTCCTCAAAATCAGGTCCACGTGGCTAGAAAGATGAGGGAGGTAACAGTCTCCAGTCTCCCTGTGCTGTCCCCTGTGGCCTAGAACCCTTTCTCCAATTTAGAGTAAAGTACCAGGAAGCCCACAGTGGTGAACACTGTAAATACATCCTAGCTCAGCTCCAGAACAGATCACCAGGGCCACCCACTCCTGGGAAGCCCTATTCTCTCTAAATGTATTAGTTCAGCTGAGTGTAACAGAAACCAAATAACAGTGGTCTAAACAGGATGAAGCTTGTATGTGTCCCCCATGACAGTGAGGCAGGCAGTCCAGGGCTGCTAGGGTGACTATGCACCACGAGGGTGTCTGGGCATCCAGGTTCCTATGATCTTCCTTCTCTGCTGTTCGGGGGAGGGTGCCCTCATTGGCAGGACCTGAGGTACCTAAGACCATGTCTATGTTCCATAAGAAGGGCAGGGAAAGCATGGAATGAGGTAAAGTTTCCTCCCGTTAAGGACAAAACCTACAAGTTCACATCTGCTCCATCTGATTGGCCAGAACTTAGTCGGACTAACATAACTCTTGAGGGAGGCTGAAGAATATATGCAGTTTTTAATCTGGGTGATCATGTGCCCAGATAAAACTCTATTACCATGAAATAAAGATGATTTATGCTATACTTAGTAAATTTTTAAAAATCAGGAGTGACAGGGGCCAGCCCAGTGGCATAGCGGTTAAGTTTGCGTGCTCTGCTTCGGCAGCCTGGAGTTCCCAGGTTCTGATCCCGGGCAGGGAACTACGCATCGCTTATCAAGCCATGCTGTGGCAGCATCCCATATAAAGTAGAGGAAGATGGGCATGGATGTTGGCCCAGGGCCAACCTTCCTCAGCAAAAAAGAGGAGGATTGGCAACAGATGTTAGTTCAGGGCTAACCTTCTTCAAAAAAAAAAAAAAAAAAAAAATCAGGAGTGACAGAGTTGTCATTATCAATATCTTAAACTGAACCAGTTTATATGTAAAAATAGAATGATCTCAGAATATAGTGTTAATTGATAACATAGATGCCGATAGAACATGTATTGAAATACCACCTGATAAAAAGGGAAATATCTCCCCATAAGACTGTGGAAACTGGTAACAGTGGTTATGTCCAGGGAGAGAATTTGGAAGAATTGTGGATGAGACAGAGGATGGAAACTTACTTTTCACTGTAAACCCTTTTAAGTTTTATGATTTCTTAAAACCTTGCGCACGTATTACCCATTCAAAATAAATTTTGAATTACCAAAGAAAAACCCACATTCATTTAGCAAACATTTATTAGGCAGTTACTATAGGGCAGGCTCTCTGCTAGGCTCAGTGAGGGAAACATCAAGGAATTCACAATGGAGTTGAATAACCTGGTAAATGCAACGTTATTATTAGTAGTTGGGAAACAGCTTCCAAGGAGGAATCAATGTCTAGACTGAGACATGGCAGATAAATAGACTTAATCCAAGTAAGTGGGTAAAGGAAGCCTTTTAGGGAAACAGCATCACAAACAAAGGCTGAGAGAGAGAGAGAGAGAACACTTGGGGCGTGTGGAGGAACTGTTAGCAGTTCGGCGTGAAGATTAGAGAGAGAAGAGCACAGTGACGAAAAGTGAGAGTGGAGTGGTGACCATGCTCCAGATCATGAGGCCATCTCAGCTTGAGGAGAATCTTGGCTTTTTACCCAAGAACAACACACAGCATATGGTGGCACTGAAGCCAGGGAGAACCCTGATCAGGTCCGCATTTTGGAAGAATCTCTTGTTGAAGTGTGAGAATAAACTGAGAGACACTAGACTGGATACATGGAGAAGTGGGGTGAGCAGGGAAAACCTTTTCAGAAACAACAGTGAGAATATTAGGATGGAGGAAAAGGGCTGAAAGGACCAGAGAGTGCTATGTGTAAGATCAAGTGCTTGTCATGGGAGCAGGAGCATGTGAAAATGCAGTGGACAAGAGAGGTCCCCAAATGGTCAGCACCCCACCTAGAAAAATGATGTAAAATAAGGGGTTTACGCCCGTAGCTTAAGGAGTGGGGGGGTTTATAAGTCATTGGGGGATCAGGGAGCAGGTGGGAGGGAGTTCAATTTAGTTGAATTTTCCAAACACTTACAGAGTTCCTACTATGCACCAGGTATTGTGCCACCTGCTGGGGACATAAAGAAGACAAAGGTACATCCCTCTGTGACCTAAATGTCTCGTCCTGATGAGGAACCATGCCAATCCATGACCTTCCAGGAGCCCCACTGATTTTGTCTTGTCCCTGTGTGGGAAGCGAGCTGAGACATGGAGAGGAAACTTCACCTATTTGGTCCGAACATTAGTGGGAAGTTTCATTAGAGAACACCCATTTCCTAATGTGACTGACCAATCAAACAAGACAAATAAAATCACAACGAAATCACCTGGATGAAGGAGAAGAAACCAAGAAAGTGGAATCACAAGAAATGACTTTATGGGTCCTGTATGAAAGCCAGCTGGAAGAAACAGTGGGACCCAGGATTTGCCTGGCAGGATGACACATGGAAGAAAAAACCTCTTCAGTTTAGTGATGGCACTTTCCTAGAGATGCATGAGCTCTGAAAGTAAAGGGGGAATTATTCAGAGAGGAAGCACCCTCAGGTTCACATAAACTCAAGAAAAACCTTTCCAATGACGATATGATTCTTACAGCAGGATGGTGCTTTAACAAACAAGCTCAGCTCTGCAGATGATCGTGTTCATCGTGGGACCCGGGTATAGTGCTCTTGTTCAGTGACTGTCCAGCCTGTGTGTGAACACAGCCAGTGCAGAGGCCTCACTACCTTCAGTTCCTGCTTTCTCTGACCTGGAACATCCCTGTGAAGACAGATTCTAAGATGGTGCCTAGTGATCCCCACGTCCTGGGATTCACACCCTTGTGGAATCTCCTCCCATTGAGTGTGGGAGGGACCTGTGACTAACTTCTAAGCAACACAATACGGAAATGGTGATGTCACTTCTGTGATTAGATCACATAAGATTGTGACTTACATCTTACTTGTCTCTGTCTACTGTCTTTTCTGCTTGCAAGCTCTGATGAACCAAGCAGCTGTGTTGGAAAGGCCCACATGGCAAGGAACAGAGGCCTCCAGTTTAACAGCCCACAAGGAACTACTCTCACTCCTCTTCCCTAGGGCAGCCCTTCCCTTTCTTGAAGACAGACATCCTGCTTTCTCTTTACCAGCATAAATGTCAAGTTGTCTTACTGTCCTAGTTGCTTTCCTCTCACCATCCAGGAGGCTCCAGTGGGGAGCAGCAGGCAGGGTGGGAGGAAGTGTCCACGAGCAGGGATGATGTGGCTAGTCCTCTCCTCACGTTTTCACTTTGGAGAGCACATGTTACCAGCAAGTCAGCTGGAAGAGGAGAAATCAGGGGCAGCAGGGATCAGAAGGAGGTAAGTGAATATCTCTCTCTCCGAGGGCCATGTGGGGCTGTGCTTTTGGGCTGTGAAATAAAACAGTGAGGAATAAACTCTGCATGGCCACTGCTGATCTTTACCCCTTCAGCGTTCTGGATAGCCCACCTCACACCCCAAATGCAAACACCATTGATTCCCTGCAACCTAGAAGTGACCCTCCTTTCCTGTCACCTTCAGCAAACACACTCCATCAGCCAACAGAACCAACTCTCCTGTCACTTCCAACCCCATGGTCTCACCGATAGGGACTCTGAGAAATGCAACAGACTCCCAACCAGTCTCAGTGCCTGGAGGGGAAGGGAAGCTGTCAGAGCCACAGGAGAAGACAACCCTTAACGAGGCAGGTGTACAGTGTACACGGGTCAACATAACAGAGTGGGAACTTGGGCTCAGTAGTCAGACTGTTTTCTTAGAGTCACGGCTCAGCCAGTTGAAAGTCATTTAACCTTTCAATGGCCTCAGTTTCCTTGTCTGTAAATGTGGTTGGTAGCTGTCCCTATCTCACAGGAATCTTATGAGGTTTAAATGATTTTATTCATGTAAACCCCTTACTATCTTAGTAACAATAATAAGGACTTTTATTAAAGTGGAATCTGGAAAGGGAGCAGGACCCACCTATTTACCTCCTATTTCCTTCTTTCATGTGATGAGGACCAGTTCTCCCAACACTCATCATCCTGAGCCTCCTCTTACTTGCCTGTTGATGGAGAGCTGCTTTGTCCCTTACAACCTGTGGGCTGGGGATGGGGAAAAACAGGAAAGGCCAGGGTGGGGCCAAGGATGAGGAGGTCACAGAGCAACGCACACACATACACAAACATCCATAAATGCTTATATACACACACACCCTCACACAACCCATACACATACACACACCCATACATGCTTATATACAAACACACGTATATACACACTCACACACACAAAAATACCCACATGCGTTTATTTATATGCGCACATGAATCCACACACACACACACACACATATGCACATCATACACTCCCTTCATATTTGGAGCCTGGCTTAACCTCACTTAATCTCTTATAAGAATTCTAGGATATGGAGGGAGAAGGACCCTAGGAAATTTGCCCTACAAGAAACAAACCCACTCCCTAAGCACTCTGGTATTTTCTGGCCTCATGTGGCCCTGCTCCTGGAACCCTGATAGATGAGCAGGGGACAAGGTCCTGGAGTCCAGAGACCGCCACATGCACTGGCCCACCTGGGAATTGGGGCTCTGAGAGTCCCGCTCTAGCCTCCTACCTCACCTATAACTTCTCAGCCTGCTCTCCCACAGCTAGGGTTCCCTCCCGGGCTTTGCTGCACAACAGGATGTCTGCACATTGGCTCCAGAAGTAGCAGGGACAGGAGGTGCTACTGAACCCCTTGGGGTGAGACACTCTTAGATCAGAATGAGGAAACCCAGATCCTCTTCCCCACCTGAGCTCTTGTTCCTCCAGAACACAACTCTTGTGACCCCAGATCCAATGAACACAGCTCCCAGGCAATCCAGCAGGGAAATGCTTCCTCATTTGGGATCATGGGCTGAGAGGTGGCTCTGAGATGGGAAGGGATGTTTAGGGGCACTGATCTCACATCTGAGCCCTAACCCAGCTGAAGCTGCCCAGAGGGCTCCTGCTTTCCCTAAGAAGAGGTTCTGTCCCTCATCTTCCTCCTTACTCTATGCCAGGGTGACAGACTCGGGCAGCCCCTCATGCTGCACATGGCACCTGCATCTCTGTTCCTCCCCAGAAGGTACCACACAGCCGCCCACTTCTGGAAAGTCCCATCCCCCACAGGCCTGGTGTCCACAAGCTCCGTGTCCTGGGTCAGGTCCTCTCCAACACGCTGCCAGGTCAGGGTGGTCTCCACCGGATAGAAAGCCCAGCACCTCAGGGTGACCCCCTGTTGAGGTGCTGGGTCACGTGTGTTCTGGGAGGCTCTGTGGTAGACAAAGCAGGGAGGCTCAGGCAAAGGCTTGTTGAATAGCATCTACTCCAAAGACCAAGATGCCCTAACTCTTGATGGTTTGGCTGCCAACCAGGGCAAGGCAGGGAGAGTCCTCAATCAGGGGGTAGATGGAACCACAACTAAGCTAAGCAGGGTCCAAGACAAGGGCATGGGAACCCAGTCCAACACTCTCCTCCAGGGTAAGAGCCTCTTCAAAGACTCTCCACTGCCTTATCAAGCCATTGGTCAATGCTTCTAGACAAATGTTTATAGGTACTCACATGTATGTATCTAGTAGCAAAGGGCTAGAAGTGTCAAAAACCTCCAGTGCCTAGGAACTAGGCCTGTGCTCTCCTGAATAGTTTCACTCCAGGGTGGGCCTAAGAAGAATGGGTGGGTCAGATGACACTGTCTGGGAGACTCAGGATGGGAGGCTCCCCAAATCCACATCTCTGGCTTGTGGGGAAGCCATCCTCAGCACCGGGGCCCCTCCCATCCCACACTAGATAGCCTACACTTCTATGCTGGATCAGCTCTGGGGGAGACCCCCACCCACACTCCGGAGAAAGAACTGGCCCTAGCTGGGGATGGTGAAAGAGCTGAGTGGGTGGGCTATGGGAAGTCATTACCAGTGTGGTCCAAGCTCTCCCCTCTAAACTCCAAGTACCTCCACAGCCACAGGATGCACTCCTTCTCCAAATAAATCTTGTCTATGAAGTTCCCACTGGCCTCTCACTTTTGTTTGGTGTAGCGGGGCAATGAATGAGACCGCCATGTATTGCAGAGAGTCCATATCCAAACTCACGTAGTTGTCACCATCATAGCCATAACTGCCAGTGCCAGGTGATCCCACTGTCCTCCTGGAGCTCACAGCCACAGGCGAATTGGAGGGTGTGGGGGCAGAGTCATTAAGGGCAGAGTACACCTCCAAGGACTCTATCAATGGTCCCTGCTCCCCCACCCCACCCCATCCCACCTTATCTCTTGGCTTCTCCTTAGGTGACATTCACACTCTACACACAGTAGTTTTTCCACTGATAGTGATCTCCTTTACCTGTTGTCAGCTCTGCAGTAAGGAGTGGTCTACAATTGGTTCCAGGAAGTATTGAGAAAGCATTGGATGGGGAGTGATAGACTTGGGTTTTGCCATAAACTGTGTCACGTGGACAAGTTATTCAATCTCCACGGTTCTAAGTTTATCTTGTGTAAATGAGAGGCTTAGACTATGACCACACAGGTCTCCTTCTCCTTCTGTGCCAAAAGTCTCAGATTCTAAGTGCAAGTTTGTGAAAACAGAATTGCAGTACACAGCATTAACATAAGAGGGCACAACGTGCTCAGTATAGTTTTCCTTGAGTGCTATGTACTGAATTATGTCCCCCGAAAATTCATCTGTTGAAGCCCTAATGTCCAATGCGACTATATTTGGAGATAGGGCTTGAAGGAAGTAATTAAGGTTAAATAAAGTCATAATGGTGAAGCCCTAAACCAATATGACCGATGGACACATAAGAATAGGAAGACACAGAGATCTCTCTTTCTCTCTACATACACACACTGAGGAAAGGCCATGTGAGGACATAGCAAGACGATGGCGATCTGCTAGCCAGGAAGAGAGCCCTCACCAGAAACTGAACCCTTCTGGACCTTGTTCTTAGATTTTACAGGCTTTAGAATTGTCAGAAAATAAATTTCTGTTGTTTAAGTCATGCAGTCTGTGGTATTTTGTTATGGCAGCCTGAGCAGACTAATACATTGAAGTACTCAGGAATGCAAACAACATCGACAAGCCCAAACTTCCCCTGGAAAATTCTTGAATGAATTTCAAAGTCAAATATAAATAATCCTGGTACTGCCCCAATCTGGATTAACCATATCCTCCTCTGGGCTCCCACAGTCTACCAGCTCAAGCTCCTAATCCAACACTTACACACTCTACCAGATTCTATTACCTTCTTATGCTGTAAGCCCTGAGAACGTAGGGACTATGTTGGTGCCTATAATATAACGATCTAGCAAACCTTTGTTGAATTCATGCTCCTATAAGGATCAACTGATAATAGCAGGCTCACTATTCAGCTTTAATTCTACCTCTCACTGGTTTATGCCTTGATTTGGCATTCAAGGCCCTTCACAAACTTGTTTCAATAGTGCCAAGAAGATGAGAGATATCTATAAAGATTATTGAACTGCATTTGATCCCCTGAATTCACTGTGCCAAATCTTATCCCACACATTGCTAAAATCTAAGTCCTGCCTGCTTGAAATACATTTCTTTATTTTATTCCTTGACCCAAATAATACACATCTATCCGATTCTATCCAAAGTCCTACCTCATTCATGAAACTCTCCCTATCCACCGGAGTGTCTCACCTATGAACTTTGGTAAACTATTTTCTCTGCTTCTCATCTGACATTTAAGTAGGTTCTGGTCTTTGACATCACTTGGTATGGATCAAAGGGTAAATAAACTGCTCCCATAAGTATCAATGACTCCCCGTATTAATTATAAGTTCTTAGGGGACAAACACCAGGTTATACTTACATGGTTCTCCACCTCCAGCACCCAAAAGATACATGCTAAGTTTACCTTCATGACCAGTGAAACTGCTGAAATAATGAATTAATGGCAAACAGACTCCACTCCCCATGTGACCAGACTGGGCCAGCCTTCACTCTCAAGTGGTAAATTATACACGCTCACCTGCCCCACCCAACCCTATGGGAACAGCTATCAAGAGGCTTCCCATCCCTAGGGATTGGGGTGAGGTAGTGAGCATTGCCACCCTCTACTTTCTCCTAGGCATCAACCTACTTGATTTCGTGAGTGCTCTTTCTTCAGTCCATGCTTCACTGTTTGATTGTGCTATGACTGCACGTATCTCATATTTAAGTGGAAATTTTCATCTGACTTGTGAAGGTCTTAGAATCATCATCAAAGTAACTCGGCTCCTCCATCAACCACTGAACACACGACTTTGCCTTCATTTCCTCACTGTCATCGTGGAAGAAGGGTTGGTCATCCACGAAGCCAAGGCAATAAACACGGGGACTCCTGGACCTGGCTCAGACACAGCAGGGTAGAAATACTGCAGAGAGTGGGATTCTGAGATAGGAATCAAAGAATATATATCACAGTGAACTCTAGTATTTATTGAAGGAGGATCCAGTTCACAAAGTGATGGGGAATCAGTGTGTATGTCTGTGTGCATCTAACGGGAGAGACAGGACACACAACATAAAACAATACAAAGACAACTGTACAACAACCCCCTGCACAAGTAAATTCAAATCCCACACAGAAATGCACTGAGAGAATTCAGAGAAACAAAAAGAAATATTACTGCAGCTTGTAACATCAGCATCACGGCAGAGTGACTTGTTCCCTCAGTCTCTCCCCTTTAACTTACAACTAAATGGACGTTCATTAACCAGCAGAGGATTCCCTACACAGCACAACAGGACTTCTGAGAGATCCACACAGCCATACATTTGAAGGTAGGAGCTGTGCAGGACTGTAGGAGGAGGCGGGAAAAGCCCGGCCTGTGCAAATGCTTGCGGAGTTGCAGCCCGGCCAGCAGGAGCACCCAACATGCCACAGTGGCCCCGCCTGTGGGAGCACTCTGCACTGAGTGACAATTGCTCAGCCACCACATGGGCATCCCTCCCCTGTAGCACAGCACAGGTAAGAAGCCACCCCGCCTGCTCAGAAGGCGGTCTCACCCGCAGAGCACAGCAGCCCAAGGGATCTATCAAGTGGTGGCTCAGCCCCTGTATGGGCACCACCCACCCTTAGTGTGGTGCAGGCGAGAAGGCGCGCCATGTGCTCAGAAGGTACCCTCACCCACGGAGCACAGCACCCCGAGGGATCCAACGAGTAGCGACTCAGACCCACATAGGCGCAGCTCCCACCCAGTGCACAGCGGCTCTGCTGGTACCCTGCCAAGCACAGGGGCCCTGCCTACGGTGCCCGACCCACCCACCCAGCACAGAGGCCCTGACCACGTGAGCACAACCTGCAGAGCAGCTGCGGCCAGCCAGAGTGAATGCAGAGTAGCCCTACCCATACAACTTCCAGCAAACACGGCGGGATCAGAAAACACAGCTCCTGTCCACCCCAGCAGTGGCAGGTGGAATTTGTGACCTGATACTACCACAAATGTGCTGGCAAAGGATCACTTCTTCAAACACAATGAAGAACTATATTAACACTTCAGAGGAGAAGGAAAATGGCAAGTCTCCAAACCAATCCTGAAGTCACAGAAATTTACAATCTAAATGACAGAGAATTCAAAATAGTTGTGATAAACTCAACGAGTTACAAAAAAACTCAGAAAGACAGTTCAATGAACTCAGGAATAAAATTCATGAACAGAAGGAATACTTTACCAAAGAGATAGAAACTTTGAAAAAAAAACAAAACAGAAATTCTGGATCTAAAGAACACAATTAACGAGATAAAAAATAATCTAGAATACACAAAAAAACAGAGCTGACATTATGAAGGACAGAATTAGTGATTTAAAGCAAAGAAATATAGAAATGCTTCAAGTGGAGGACAACAGAGAACTAAGATGTTTAAAAAATGAAGAAATTCTTCAAGAAATATCAGACTCAATTAGGAAAAGCAACATAAGGATTATAGGTATTCCAGAGGGAGAAGAGGGGGAGAAAGGAGCAGAGAGCTTGTTTAAAGAAATAATAGCTGAGAACTTCCCAAACCTAGGAAAGAAACTGGACTTACAAGTACAGGAAACCAATAGAACTCCTAATTACATTAGGGCAAAAAGACCTTCTCAAAGGCATATAATATTAAAACTGGCCTCAGTCAATAACAAAGAAACAATATTAAGGGCAGCAAGGCAGAAGAAAATAACCTACAAAGGAACTCCTATGAGGCACACAGCAGATTTCTCAGCAGAAACCTTACAGGCTAGGAGAGAATGGAATGACATATTCAAAATACTGAAAGACAAAAACTTTCAGCCAAGAATACTCTATCCAGCAAAACTATCCTTTAGATAGCAGGGAGAAATAAAAGCTTTCCCAGATAAACAAAAGCTGAGGGAGTTCATTGCCACTAGACTTTCCTCAAAAAAATGATGAACGAAGCCCTCCTACCCATAACAAAAAGGCAAAGGTTTACAAAACCTTGAGCGAGGAGATAAATAGAATCAGAAAATTGCAGCTCTATATCAGAATAGCTCACTAAACAATTACAACATAAAAGACAAAGGGAAGGAAAGCATCAAAAATAACTATAAACACTTCAATTTAGTCACAAACTCACAACACAAAAAAGAACAATTTGTGATAACAATATCTCAGAGGGGGAAGAGGAAAGGGATGGAACATGCATAGACTAATGGAGATAAGAGGCTATCAGAAAATGGACTATCTCATCATGAGATCTTTTATACAAACCTCATGGTAACCACTAAACAAAAAATCAGAGCAGAGCCACAAATCATAAATAAAGAGAAAACTGTGAAAACCATCACAGAAAACCACCAAACTGAAATGGCAGTCAGAAATACGAGGGAAAAGAAACAATGGAAATATAGAACAACCGGAAAACAAGAGACAAAATGGCACTACTAAGCCCTCATATATCAATAATCACTCCAAATGTAAATGGATGGAATTCTGCAACCAAAAGAGTGGCTGGATGGATTAAAAAACAAGACCCAACAATATGCTGCCTCCAGGAAACACATCTCAGCTTTAAAGACAAACACAGGTTCAGAGTGAAAGGACGGAAGACGATACTCAAAGCAAATGGCAAACAAAAGAAAGTAGGTGTTGCCACACTTATACCAGACAAAGCAGACTTCAAGATAAAAAAGACAAGGAGAGACACAGAGGGGCAGTATATAATAAAAGGGACATTCCACCAAGAAGATATAACATTTATGAAAATATATGCACCTAACACACCAATATATACAGTGGAGCATCAATGTATATAAAGAAACTATTAAGAGACCTGAAGGGAGAAATTGACAGCAACACAATAATGGTGGGGGACCTCAACACCCCGTTTACATCAATGGATAGATCATCCAGACAGAAAGTCAACAAGGAAACAGTGGCCTTAAACAAAATACTAGATCAGATGGAATAACGAGATATATGTAGAACATTCCATCCAAAAACAGTAGAATACACAATCTTCTCAAGTGCACATGGAACAGTCTCAAAGATAGGCCATATGTTGGGAAACAAGGCAAGCCTCAATAAACATATGAGGACTGAAATCATATCAAGTATCTTTGCTGACCATGGGCTATAAACTAGAAATCAAGAACAAGAAAAAAGCTGGGAAAGTAACAAACATGTGGAGACTAAACAACATGCTACTGAACAACCACTGGACCAATGAAGAAATCAAAGGAGAATTAAAAAAAAAACCTGGAAACAAATGAAAATGAAAACACAACATATCAACTCTTATGGGATGCAGCAAAAGGGGTCCTAAGAGGGAAATTGATAGCAATACACGCCTACCTCAAAAAAACAAGAAAAATTTCAAACACTCTAACAGTGTACCTAAAGGAACTAGAAAAAGAAGAAACAAAGCCTAAAATCAGTAAAAGGAAGGAAACAATAAAAACCAGAGTGGAAACAAATGAAATAGAGACTCAAAAAACAATAAGGGGCCAGCCGGGTGGCATAGTGGTTAAGTTCGCGTGCTCCGCTTCAGTGGCCCAGGGTTTGTGGGTTTGGATCCCGGGCGTGGACCTATGAGGCACTCATCAAGCCACGCTGAGGCGGGTTCCACATACAAAATAGAGGAGGTTTGGCACAGATGTTAGCTCAGGGCCAATCTTCCTCACCAAAAAAAAGAAAGAAAGAAAGAAAAAAGAATCATTGAAACTAAGAGGTGGTTCTTTGAAACGATAAACAAAATTGACAAACCTTTAGCTAGACTCACCAAGAAAAAAAGAGAGACGGCTAAAATAAATAAAATCAGAAATGAAAGAGGAGAAATTACAATGGACACCTCAGAAATAGAAAAGATTATAAGAGAATAATACGAAAAGCTATATGCCAGAAAATTGGATGATAAACAATGTTACATAAAAAAAAAAAAGACTTATATACATACAACGGAATACTACTCAGCTATAACAAAAGACAAAATCATCCCATTTGCAACAACATAGATGGACTTTGAGGATATTATGTTAAGCAAAATAAGCCAGACAGAGGAAGAAACACCAGATGATTTCACTCATACGTGGAAGATAAACAAACACATGGATAAAGGGAACAGATTAGTGGTTACCAGAGGGGAAGGGGGTTAGGTGGGTAAAAGTGGTAACGGGACACATATATATGGTGACGGATAAAAATTAGACTACTGGTGCTGAGTACGATGCAGTCTATACAAAAACTGATAAACAACAATGTACACCTGAAATTACACAATGTTATAAACCATCATGACCTCAATAAAATAACTGAAAAAATAAAATGAGAGGAGGAAGATGCACTCTTGTTTACCTCGTCTTCCATTCTGTTGCCTGGTACATAGATGTTACAGCTAGAGCTTTAGCACCACCCTGAGCCATAACAATGAGGTGCACACTCTAGGGATCACAGAACGTAAGCTGAAGGAAACTGGGTCCCAGATGACTTTGATGAACTGTCAAACAGACCCTGGAGGGCCTACCTCCAAACATTTTTTTACTTAGGAAATAAATTCCTCATTTGTTTAAGCCACTGTTACCTTTTATTTATAATATACAGCCAAACCTAATCTAACTGAGGTAACCACACCCCATGTGCCTCCTCATTCAACACATTTCCTCCTATACACCTCTTCTTCACACTGTATCCTTCACATGAAAGGGCTCCATCCCTCTCTAATAATCCAATCAAGTCTAAGACTGCCTTTTCTCTACAAAGTTAACACTACCATCTCTTCCTAATACACACTGCTCCTTTATAACATGTTCCAAGAGCACGCAACAATCCTTGAAGAATAAGAAGGTGAGGAGACTTTTTTCTATCAGCTATCAAGACTTACAATAAAGTTACAGTAATTAAGACAGAGTAATATTGGCACAAAAACAGATGCAGGTAAATATGGATAAGTAATTGCTGACAATTATGACACTGCAGAGCAGTTGGGAAAAGGTCACTCCTTTCAATAGTCCTGAATCAACTGACTGTTCATATGGGAAAACAAAGTAACCTGATCTCTATCTAAAACCATACTCTCCCAAATGTATCCCAGGTGGATAGTAGATATAGTGTAAAACTCAAAACAGTAAAGCTAATAGAAGATAATAAGCAAATATCTTCATGACCTAAAGCTAGAGAAAAGACTTCTTAAACAGGAAATAAAAAGCATTAACCATAAAGAAAAATATTGATAAGTTGGATTACATTACAATTCATACCTTTCGTACATCAAAAGACATCAAGACAGTAAAAATGCAAGCCATAGAGTGGGAAAAGATATCTGGCACTTACATAAACGACAAAAGGCTTATATCCAGACTATATAAAGAACACCTCCATCAAAAATCTCCTAACAGGGGCCAGCCCCATGCTGTAGCGGTTAAGTGCACGCGCTCCGCTGCTGGTGGCCCAGGCTCAGATCCCAGGCGCGCATCCCAGGCGCGCACCGACACACCACATGTCAGGCCACGCTGTGGCAGCACCCCACATAAAGTGGAGGAAGATCAGCACGGATGTTAGCTCAGGGCCAGTCTTCCTCAGCAAAAAGAGGAGGATTGGTATGGATGTTAGCTCAGGGCTAATCTTCCTCACAAAAAAAAAAAAAAAACTCCCAACAAAGCGAAACAAGGCATGTTTATATAAATTTAAAAAGATTGAAATCATAACAAGCATCTTTTCAGACCATGAAGTTAGAAATCAACTACAAGGAAAAAACTGGGAAAGTGACAAAGCTCTGGAGACTCAACAACACACTACTAAACAACCAATGGATCATTGATGAAATTAAAGGAGAAATTTCCCATACCTGGAGACAAATGAAAATGAAAATACACTGTACCAACTCATATGGGATTCAGCAAAAGCGGTCCTGGGTGGGAAACTCATAGCAATACAGGCCCACCTTAACAAACAAGAAAAAGCCCAAATAAGCAACCTCAAACTACGTCTAACAGAATTAGAAAAAGAAGAACAAACAAAGCCTAAAGTTAGCAGAAGGAGGGAAATAATAAAAATCAGAGCAGAAATAAATGAAATGGAAATCAAGAAAACAGTAGAAAGGATCAATGAAACAAAGAGCTGGTTCTTTGAGAAAGGAAACAAAATTGACAAACCCTTAGCCAGACTCACCAAGAAAAAAAGAGAGAAGCCTCAAATAAATAAAATTAGAAATGAAAAAGGAGAAATTACAATAGATACCACAGAAAGACAAAAGATTATAAGAGAATACTATGAAAAACTATATGCCAACAAATTGGACAATCCAGAAGAAATGGATAAATTCCTAGACTCATACAACCTCCCAAAACTGAATCAAGAAGAGAGAACCTGAATAGACCAATCACAAGTAAAGAGATTGAAACAGTAATCAAACACTTCCCAAAAAATAGAAGTCCACGACCAGTGGCTTCTCTGGAGAATTTTACCAAACATTCAAAGAAGATTTAATACCTATCCTTCTCAAACTATTCCAAAAAATAGAGGAAGGTGAACACTTCCCAACACATTCTACGAGGCCAACATCACCCTGATACCAAAGCCAGGCAAAGACAATACTGAGAAGGAAAACTACTGACCAATATCCCTGATGAACACGGATGCAAAAATCCTCAACAAAATATTGGCAAACCAAATACAGCAATACATTAAAAAGATCATACACCATGATCAAGTGGGATTTATACCAGGGACACAGGGATGTTTCAACATCTGCAAATCAATCAGTGTGATACAGCACATTAATAAAATGAGGAGTAAAAACCATATGATCATCTCAATAGATACAGAGAAGGCTTTTGACAAGATCCAACACCCATTTATGATAAAAACTCTCAATAAAATGGGTACAGAAGGAAAGTACCTTAACATAATAAAGGCCATATATGACAAACCCACAGCCCACATCATACTCAACAGGGAAAAACCAAAGGCCATCCCTCTGAAAACAGGGACAGAACAAGGGTGCCCACTCTCGCCACTCTTATTCAACACAGTACAGGAGGTTCTGGCCAGAGAAATTAGGCAAGAAAAAGGAATAAAAGAAATCCAAATAGGAAACGAAGAAGTGAAACTCTCACTGTTTGCAGATGACATGATGTTATATATAGAAAATCCTAAAGAAGCTATTGGAAAACTATTAGAAATAATCAACAACTACAGCCAAGTTGCAGGGTATAAAATCAACATACAAAAATCAGTTGCATTTCTATATACCAACAACGAACTAACAGAAGGAGAACTCAAGAAGACAATCCCATTTACAATTGCAACAAAAAGAATAACATATCTAGGAGTAAATTTAACCAAGGAAGTGAAAGACCTATACAATGAAAGCTATAAGACATTATTGAGTGAAATCAATGATGACATAAAGAAATGGAAAAATATTCCACGAACTTGGAAGAATAAACATAGTTAAAATGTCCATACTACCTAAAGCAATCTACAGATTCAATGCAATCCCAATCAGAATCCCAAGGACATTCTTCACAGAAATAGAACAAAGAATACTAACATTCATATGGGGCAACAAAAGACCCCGTATAGCTAAAGCAATCCTGAAAAAGAAGATCAAGGCTGGAGGTGTCACAATCCTTGACTTCAAAACATACTACAAAGCAATAGTAATTAAAACAGCACAGTACTGGTACAAAAACAGACACATAGATCAATGTAACAGAATTGCAAGTCCAGAAATAAAACCTCATATCTATGGGCAGCTAATCTTTGACAAAGGAGCTAAGGACATACAGTGGAGAAAGGAAAGTCTCTTCAATAAATGGTGCTGGGAAAACTGGACAGCCACGTGCAAAAGAATGAAAGTAGACCATCTTCTTTCACCATACACAAAAATTAACTCAAAATGGATCAAAGACCTGAAGGTGAAAACTATAAAACTCATAGAAGAAAACATAGGCAACACACTATTTGACATTGGTCATAAGGGAATCTTTTCGGATGACATGCCTACCCAGACTAGGGAAACTAAAGAAAAAATAAACAAGTGGGACTTCATCAGATTAAAGAGCTTCTACAAGGCAAATGAAACCAGGATCAAAATGAATAGGGAACCCAGCAGCCGAGAAAAAATATTTGCAAACCGTATATCTGATAAGGGATTAATCCCATAATATATAAAGAACTCACAGAACTGAATAACAAAAAATCAAACAACCCGAACAAAAAATGGGCAGAGGAAATGAACAGACACTTCTCCAAAGAAGATACACAGATTGCTAATAGGCACATGAAAAGATGCTCAACATCACTAATCATCAGGGAAATGCAAATCAAAACCACACTAAGATATCATCTTACACCTGTTAGAATGGCTATAATCACCAAGACAAAAAGCAACAAATGCTGGAGAGGCTGTGGAGAAAGGGGAACCCTAATCCACTGCTGGTGAGAATGCAAACTGGTGCAGCCTCTATGGAAAACAGTATGCAGATTCCTCAAAAAGTTAAAAATAGAAATACCTTATGATCCACCTATCTCACTACTGGATATCTACCCAATGAACCTGAAATCAACAATCCAAAGAGGCTTATGCACCCCTATGTTCATCGCAGCATTATTCACTACAGCCAAGACATGGAAGCAACCCAAGTGTCCCTCGACTGATGATCGGATAAAGAAGATGCTGTCTATATACACCATGGAATACTACTCAGCCATAAAAAAAGACAAAATCGTCCCATTTGCAACAACATGGATGGACCTGGAGGGTATTATGTTAAGTGAAATAAGTCAGAAAGAGAAAGACAAACACTGCATGATTTCACTCATATGTGGAAGATAAACAAAGACATGGACAGATAGAACTGTCTGGTGATTACCAGGGTCGGGGGGGGGTGGAGGGTGGGCACAAGGGGTGGAGGGATGTACTTATATGGTGACTGATAAACAATAATGTACAACAAAAATTTCACAAAAAAAAAAAAAAAAATCTCCCAACACAGAAATGCCCAGCACCAGATGGCTTCACTGGTGAATTTTACCAAACATTTACAGAAGAATTAATGTCAATCCTTCTCAAACTCTTCCAAAAAACTGAAGAGAGGGAACACTCCGAAACTCATTTTATGAGGCCAGCATTATCCTGATACAAAAGCCAGAAAAGGACACTACAAGAAAAGAAACCTACAGGCCAATATCCCTGATGAATATAGATGCAAAAATCCTCAATAAAATACTGGCAAACTGAATTCAGCAGCACATTAAAAGTATCATTCACCATGATCAAAAGGGATTTATCCTTGGGATACAAGGATGGTTCAACATAGGTAAATCAATAAATGTGATACATCACACATTAATAGAATTAAAGATCTTACCATCATCTCAATAGACGCAGAAAAAGCATTTAACAAAATTCAACATCCATTCATGATAAAAACTCTTAACAAATTAGGTATAGACGGAATCCACCTCAACATAATAAAGGCTACATTTGACAAGCCCACAGCTTACATCATACTCAATGGTGGAAAGCTAAAAGCTTTCCCTCTGTAAGATCAGGAAGAAGACAACAATGGTAACTCTCACCACTCCTATTCAACATAGTACTGGAAGTCCTAGCCAGAGCAATTAGGCAAGAAAAAGAAATAAAAGGCATTTATTAGAAGTAAAATTCTCTCTATTTGCGGATAATATGGTTTTATATACGGAAAATCCTAGAGACACCACCAAAAAACTGTTACATCTAATCAACAAATTCAGTAAAGTTGCAAGATACAAAATTAGCATACAAAAATCAGTCATGTTTTTATACACTAGCAATGAATTATCTGGAAAAAATAAAGAAAATGATTCCATTTACAATAGTATCAAAAACAATAAAATACTTAGAAATAAACTTAACCTAGGAGGTAAAAGATCTCTACATTGAAAACTACAAGACACTGATGCAAGAAATGGAAGACGACACAAATAAACGGAAACGTACCCTATGTTCATGGATTATAAGAATTAATATTGTTAAAATGTCCATACTACCCAAAGCCATCTATATATTCAATGCAATCCCTATCAAGACTGCAATGGCATTTTTTACATAAGTAGAAAAAACAATCCCAAAATGT